TTAAAGCTGTTAAGGTAAATTAGGATATTAAGGTATACTGGCCTGCTGCTAATTAACATTCAATGAATGCATTATGAATGCAATATGAAGACTTATTGAATGTTCTACAAATGCATTGTAAAGACATTATGAAGGAATAGTTAGTTAAAGTGTGAACAATAAAATACAGTAGGTAATTCAGAAATATACAGCCTTACATTGCATAGAATGCCTTTTGAATGAAGGCATGACCTGAAGCGCCATCACCTTTGGACCCCGGTATTTTCTGGCTATAATAAAAACATTAAGTGGCTGCTGCTCTGTAGGACTGTTTGCTGACAGTGTGCTGCCTCTGCACCCCAGGTTTACTAGTTACTCTCTTGTATCCAGTGGCTTATTTTGAGTCCCCACATGTAGGAGGCAGAATCTCCTACGGCATATTTATCCATGTCCAAAGACAAGGAAGAAAAAGGACAAAAATAGACATCCAAGGAGATATGTTAGCTTACAAACATTTGGAGTCAGTTGAATTACTGAATAAGCTTGAAGCTAAATCCTTTCAGGAGTCATGCAGACATTTTGTTCATATGAAACCATATTAGGTGGTTCTTCTGCATCGGTGTGTGTGAAGGAGAATTAGATGCTACATGTGTCAGTGTTTTTTCCTGCTTAGCCTCAGTGGACCGGATGGATTTTTATCCCGAGGTGTTTGGCATGAACAGAGGTCACTGCTATTTTACATACAGCCATGGAAAAAATTAAGAGACCACAGAATTTTTTTTTGTTTCACACATTTCTCAATTCATGGGTATGCATGAATTTGTTTTTTGCAAACTGCACCCTGTTTCTTCCCTGCTCCTCATTAATGAAGAGCTGCTTCTTGCTTTATGGGACTTCAGTCCTGCTTCTAGGAGCCTGTTATGAACTGTCCTAGCAGTGCACTTCACACCACTTAATGTTTCCCATTCTTTTTGAAGGTCACTTGATGTCATCATATGATTCATGAGGCACTGCAGGATAAGTTGACGGTCATCACTGGCATTAGAAAGTTACTTTTGCCCTCTACCTGGCTGGTTTTTGGTTATTGCAAATTTCTCCTGCGTCACCTTGTTCTTGTGTACTGCTGTCTTAGAAACTTTGAGTATGTATCCTTCTGTCAGCAGAATCAGGGTTAAACCAAGATTGAAAAATGCAGATTTGTTTCAAAATATAGAATGGCATCTTAATTTTTTCCGCTGCTGTATAAATTGTGAAATGTATACAAACGACAGAATAATGCACGAGAAAGGGCAGTGTATTGCAGCTGAAATTTGACAAAACAAATTTGTACTTGTATTTATATTTAATTACTTTCTAAATATATAGCTTCTGTATTTATACTAATATGACTTCTGTTGTAAATGGTGGTTGCTGCATAAAATACATCTGTAACAAATGTAATTGTCAATCAAGTTATAATGGTGTCAGTGACCTTTTCTTTATATATATATATATATATATATATATATCATAAAAATAAATGTTAACTAAGTTGGTGTAATTTTTCAAAATCTAGGACATGTGATATAAATACGGCCAGGGGTTTACAAAGCCCACACCAATGTACTTCCTCACGGAAAAAGCGCTCACGCAGAAATGCCAAACCTCGGAGCTGAAAACCAGCTTCCGGCTCTTTCTAAGTGCTTTGAACTGGAGTCTGTTGGGGCTGGGGCAGCAGGGATGTGGGGGGAGGGGCAGGGGCAGGGAGAGACATGCCAGAAACACACTGAGAGTGACTGCCGACGCCTCGGGCCTTCACGCCCCGGCACGCGATGCGCCACGCGTCCTGCAGACATCAAAGCACATGAGAGACGGGGAAGACATATCCCCAGGGTCCGCATTGCAGCCACATTGCTTTGTTTGATGGGGGTCATCTCATTCTCATTGCCACCTCTCATTAATGTCCTGTCCCTAAGTGCTGGATTAGAGGGACCTGGGGGTTCCCTACAACCAAAAGTCGCCTGTAGGGAATCCGTAGGGTGGGTAGAGATTTTATGTAGGCCACACAAAAATGACAGGCAAGGAGGCAAACAGAAAAAAGAGGCAAAATTAAAGCTATTTTAGCTATTTTACCGGTATTTATGCTTTTAACATCAGAAAGACCATCACGTTAAGGCTACAAGGCTCCAGTGATTACAAAAAAAAAATCAAATTAGAATAGTCTGAGATAAAGGAATGTGAATGTTTGTTTTCAATGGGCTCACCCTTCAATACAGTCAAAAATAATGAGGGAAAAAAAGCCTTTGTCTTGATCTTGCAGGCTACCCATTTGGTGTGGAGCTTAATGATATCACTGTATATGTTTCAAATGCTGGTTTGAAGACCTGCTGGAATTAGCATCAGCTTCAAAAATGAACAGAATGGAAATATTACACAGACAGAAGGGAGTGTAAAGTAAAGGTTCATGTGTATTCCGTTTTTTGGATTTGTTGTGATCTGTTTCGGATTTTAAGGTTTTATAAGCTTCCGAGCCGAAAAAAATAAGTTTTCAGAGTACGTCTGTCTCTCTTGCCCGTATCCACTTTTGTCTCCTTAAAAGCTCCCCTGTCTATGTGTGTAAGTGAGTTTATTCGCGCTCGCTGTTTTACCGCTGTCCTTTTAAGGGTCATACAATAAAAGAGTCTGCTAAAAACTGAACTTTGCTGTCTGCCACTTGAGCGCCACAGTATTTTATTTATTTAGACAAAACTGTAGCAGTTATAGTTGAATTTTTTGGGTACGCGGAAGGTTTAGATGTGATAGCCCGTCCCAGTTTCACTGATATTACGATTCCAAATTCTGTAACCAGCTTTTCTGTGGAGCCGTGCTGGAGCCATTTTTTCAGGCACTGGGCCAGTTTCTTTGCACTGGAAATGCACGGAACTAGTTCCGGACTAGGAAAAAGTCAGGCACCTGCTCCGGCGCCGTGTTGGTGGAAATAAGGCAAAAATAGTAGTGCACGAGTATGATGAAATATATGAGTTATATAATTTGTATCAGTTTACAACTCAAAATTAAGACTCAAAACAGAGTACAATGGGGAGAGGGTTACCTTTCTGGCTGTCAATGACAAAATTGCCCTCTTCATTGCCCACTGTGATTTTGTATGTAATCCCATCACCATCTGGGTCCTTGGCCAGCACGGTGGCGACTAACGTGTTGGGTCCAGCATCTTCAGACACAAAGGTCCTATAGCTGTCAACAGAGTGAGTATACAGTGAACACCATATACCTACGACTGTGTTACCCATCAGTGACAGTGAACACCATATACCTACGACTGTGTTACCCATNACAGTGAACACCATATACCTACGACTGTGTTACCCATCAGTGACAGTGAACACCATATACCTACGACTGTGTTACCCATTCTGAAATTTACATAATTATTACGGACACATTCCATTCATTTTCTCATTACTTATACTGCAGACCCCTCGCAGGGTCACAAGATACACCTTGGATGACATGCCAGTCCATCACAGAGCACACACACACACTACAGGGAAATTAGAGACACAAATTAATTTAACCTTTGAATCAAAGGAGAAAAGACACAGCACACAACAAGAAGACAGAGACAGAGTAGAGTTGGGATTCAAACACTCATCTCTGGAGGAATAATGCAACATGCCACTGCATCACCATGTCACACCGTCATTTATCTAATAATTATTCTTTAATGGCGATAATGATCTCATACATGTAATTCTATCATGTTCTTATCAGCATCATTAAAAAGTACAAATTAGGATGGCATGTTGTGTTGTGGCCTTGTACAAGTGTGAGGAGAAAAACAAGACAAAAAGAAACATTCAGAAACTTGTCTATTTAATTACATCTCTGATCTACGCACACACACACACGCACACACACACACACACAAACACAGACACACACACACAAACACAGACACACACACATGCACTTGCAGAAACACACACTTTTCCACAGGACCATATAAGGACACACACAAAAAAACAAATAAATACTCCCGGTACTGAGAAAATGCTTACATACAGTAGACACATACATACATACATACATACATACGTACATACATACATACGTGAAATGAAGACTCCCAAAATCAAAACCAGCTAATGGAAGGTCATTTATAAAATGTGCCCCCCCATTGTGTCTGAATTCAGCAAAAGGTCATAAATTGTATATTCATAGCAGGGTTCGCCAGCCATGCTGTTTCCAAAGGCTCGTTTTGAATATGATCTGGTCTGACCATTCAGACCCATGCAGCACTTGCAGTGGATTCCTGGTGGTAAGTTTTAATTTGTTTATTTTTATTAATACATTTGAAATCACAGTATTTTTTTTATTGCTGATTAGGTTTATTGTTTCTCTTGAGGTGTTCAGGTGCTTTTTGTCCCAGCGTGCCCACCATAGTCTACTTCTTGTGTTGAGGTTTTCAGCATGACGGTTCATTAAAGTTCAGTTTTTCGAAGTTGTTATTGTACTGAATGACACCTAGGACACGAGGCAGACCCGAAAGCAGGTGAACACGCTGAGTTGCCTTGTTGGTGCTGCAGATCTGCAGAACTGCACCGCAATAGACGCTTTGCGTGGGAAAGGTGAAAGCCGCATCAAAAGAGTGATTAGCAGGAGCGTGCAGACACGCCCCTGTCATTTCCCTTTGCCACTTGCCACACAAAGGCCTGTCACCGGGAACAGCCCTCGATGGCATCTCCTTCCCCTAACCACGAGGAGCCTGTCATTCTCAAACCGACAGTTAGGGAGAAGTACAGTGTGAAGCCAGTACACGGCTTCCCTCCGGTTCACGCCTCCCAAAGCCACCGCTCGCACTTTGATCACATGCTCTCGAGATGTAGCCGAGTAGCAGGGCGGATTGACAGATGACTGACGGCATGCAGCCAGAGCCCCTTTTCGGGATCCGCCGGAACAATGGAGTCTGGCAGCGTCGGCTTGTGTGATGCAGAGACTCTTTGCATCTTCATTATGTAGCCCATCAAATCCATTTGTAGCAAAATCAAAATTAATTTGTAATTATTACAGAAGTCTATCTTTGTCAAAGCACTAAGAGGCATAATATAAACAGAAGTCTATATTTCTTAATCTTCTTAAAAGATTGACATCAGGCTGAATTTACACATTTATCCAGGCAGCTAATTATTTTGACAATTCATATTCAGCTGATAAAAACACATTAATACAATGATGAACATGACTTCCCACCCCATCCGCCCAACCACTACTCTTCCCGCATTTATTTTTCCCTTTTTTTCAATTTGACGTTGACTGTAAGCATTAATGGGGCCATTACCTTAGTTCACCTCGTTATTCATCATTTAGATAAAAGCCAGCAAGCATTTACGGTAACGATCTGGTAAAGAGCCTGATTGTGCGCATAACAAAGAGCGCCGCGGAACGGCACGGCGCGTCATCCACACATGTCTGGCTGACAGACCCCCGTCACAGGCACGCCACATGCTACTGACCCAGGGGCACAAAAGGGGCATGGATACCCTGGCAGATCCAGGGGGCCCAGAAGCTCAAGCTACACCACATTGTTGACTCCATCAGCCCTCGGCCATCCCCCAAACACAACAGCCATTTTGCACAGTATTTATCCTCCTGTTATGCTGTTTTGCACATTTCTCTTATGTATTCTTCAAATGTGTTACTTTTATGTTTATTTTATTACTGATTTCCCTTTTGCGCATTCATTGTCTATTTTAACTTATGATGTCCTTTTGTATCAGCCTCAGCAAACTTCAGAAATGCCCAAATAAAAGCCCAATTTTTTCCCAAATGACACATATACTGTAAGCACACACATACACACACACACACACACACACACACACAATATGAGAGAAATCTATCTAAGACAACTGATGGCATGGCTGATTGAGCATGCCTTGCCAATTTCTAGAGCTAGCAACCATAAAATTGGTCAATTAAAAGAGCCAAAAGCCTTCAGTAATGTTGCAGAGTGAAAAGAACATAAAATAATAAGTTAATGCAGCAGAGAAGCATAAAGATTCAGGAATGTAACATAAGCAAATGTGAAGAGTATACATTTGGGTAAGAACACAGAGATGATGATAAAATCACTATGACAGGCCTTTTGCACCTCACATTTCGGGGATTTGAATTTAATCTTGACAGTGACAGCTGCATGGGATTCTGGGAAATTACTGCATGGAATGGAAAAAAAGTGGGACAATCGTATGTCATGCAGAACATAACAGAAAATAAACCTGTAATGTGAGTGTTATGACTACTGCCACCGAGAGCAGGGTGACACAACCCTGTTCCCGCAGAGCTTAGGTGCGGTCCTGATTAGCACCCCTGATACAGATAAGAAGGCCCACTGAAGGACCTGCCGCTCTGTATCAGGCGTGTGACATTAGGGCCGCGCCTACGTGCTGCTGGGTGGTAGATCCCCCAGAACAGCCTTGACCTACAGTCAAATGATGAAAATGATAGTTATATAGACTCATTATAGTCAGTTATAGCCAGTTAGTAATACATTGTAGAGTAAGAACATGAGGCTCTCACATGGGCTGGGAAAACTCGGGCGCCTCGTCATTGACGTTGGACATGCGGATGCGGACGGTGGCCGTCCCCGTGCGTGGCATCTCCCCCTTGTCCACGGCCATCACGATGAACTCATAGAGGTGGTTGGGCCGCTCGTAGTCCAGGGGGCGGGCTGGGAAGATGGTGCCGTGAGCAGAGACCGTGAAGTCGGGGCTCAAGGTGTGGTAGGTTAGCTTCGCATTCCGGTCAGAGTCACAGTCACTGGCCGACACTGCAGGGGGGGGGGGGTAATCGGTTGGAAAAATTAAATGGAGGTGAGTTCTGACCACTGTGTAATGTACAGCTCAACCTATGATTGTCATTCTGCCTCATACTGTTTAAGTCACATAATGAGTGGCCAGAGCAGGAGTCTGACCCTCCAGCTTTTCAGGTGTAAATCGGAAGTAATGGCAAAGAATTTAAAGCCTGCAGGAAATTGGCGTCTCTGCTTTCATTGAGCGGCTTAGCAGAGGTTATCATCTCCAGCAACTAACATGCAGTGCCTTATTGTTTAATCCCTCTTTATTCATACAGTTAGGCATTTATTAGGGTTGGTGGAATTCATCAATAAAATCATCAATTCCATTTCAAATCAGTAAATGTAATTTTAATTAGAATTTTAACTAGAAAATTGAATTGGAATCGAAATTCAGGTAGTGGACCTGAATTCAATGAAATTCCATGTTTTGCAGGTTTTCTTAGCCCAGGGGTGGCCAGCAAGTCGCTTGCAGAGGAGCCAATGAGCAGCTCGCGTATGACGTATTTCAGAAGTGGGATCAATGATGTTAATGTCAATGTATTTGTATTTCTGCATAAGCCATTTCAGTTTGTCTGAGACCATGAATTCCATGCTGCCACGCAGAGAATTAGTCCAGCTGGTTTCATCGTTGCCAACCCCCCCCCCCCCCCCCCCCCCCCCCCCCCCCCCCCCCCTCCCCCCACTGCTAAGAAATCTTACTGTTGCCACCCCTATGCCAGGAGTTTCCCATTAGTGATACACAGGGGC